ATAATTTTTATATCGTTGTCAACTTTGAATTTATTGTATTTTTTAAAAATATACTCAACATTATCTGAATCCTCTTTTCTTGTAAAATGTTTTATGTTTTTCTTAATACTGCATAACTTTAAATAAGTTTCTTCTTGAATTTCCATCAATGTATTGATTATATTAAAACAATTTGGATGGCTTGTATAAAACTGACTATTAAAGTCTCGATGAAATGCTTCGGGCCCATTTGTTTTCCTAGGATCAGATATAGTGGAAAACAACTATTTTCCTCAACGTAAGTCTCTAGAATATAATCAGTATAGTCGATAACTGCAAGTAAATGTATTACGTATAAATTCGTAGTCGCATATATTACGAAAATAATCGAAATAATGTAAGTAATTGATATTAATTGGTTTGGAGATAAAGTATATTAGTATACCACTATTGTAGATCACGTGTTTATAAAGTGTACCCAAACGTGTCTTGTATAGTATGTATATCATGTACCCAAACGTTCTCTGATTTAACTGGTAAAATTATAAAATACCTTTTATTTTATGTGTCCAAACGTTGTGTCTATTTGTACCCAAACGTGTTGGCTTTTGGGTCAATGTGACCAAACGTTCAGCGCCCAACTCATTAACGCCCAGCCTTGAATTCTATAATATGTCTCGATTTACGTAAAATGATCAAATATACGATAAGTGCTTTTATACCATTTCTTATTTTACACTAAATAATTCGTCACCAGTGTAGTTATTTATTATTATATTTTCTTTTTTTGTAGTATTAAAATATTATACATTCAATCTTAATACGTACCTTTTAACCCTTATATCATGTATTTTTTTTAAAATAACGTTTGCAAATCCCTTTCACAATTTAGCTCGGGATTTGAGTTATGTTATGCATAATGACATCAATAAAAATTCGGGCGAAGATTTCAATGTTCCAATTCACCAAGACTTGGTGGAAAATTGTAACACCCCAGAAATTATCGAAAATGACGACATTCCGATTCAACAAGATATAGTCGTAGTTGAAGAAATTGCACAGTCAGCAGAAGATTCAAACGATCTATCAATGTTTGTTGATGAGACTAGCTTAGATTTTGTCTATTGGAACTCGTATGTACCTAACATTAAATAAGATTTGTATATAATATTATATATAACTCAGTACTGAAATAATAAAATGTAGTACTTATAAGTTATAATTTATTATAAGTAATTATTATATTCTATTAGCCAAACATTTTTAACTTAATATTTGTATGAAATTAATTATTCTGCTATTTTTATCGAAACTATTAGCTTGCAAAACTTTAATTTGTATTTTATCTGAAGTTTTGTAGGTAGTAACCGGTACTACTAAAACACTGTCTTAAAGGCACCAACTTTTAAAATTAAGATTTTTTTATTTTTATTTGTTTTAGAAAATTCGGAAATAATAAACCAATAATAATCGAATTAGGCAATGAAAAACAAATTATAAATTATTGGATTAGTAATTTACCTTTAAAAGTCATAACGCATGGATGGCTTAAATCAGATGAAAATGATGAAGGAGTGTTCTCTATAAAAACTGGTAATCCAAAAAAAATTTTTTTTTAATGTCTAAATATATAAGTTCCCACACCGTAACTTATTCATCTCTGATATGACCTATAAATTCAATTGAGAGAGATCATACATTTAAAACCGTATATCATTATATTTTGATTACATAAAACTTTGACATGTTTAGAGTAAAGCCAGAGACTTTGTATCTTTAACATTTAAATAAAATACGACATATCACGAGAAAAAAGCATTTTAAAGGTTTCAAGTTAAAGTTTTATTTGAGTTTCGATTAATTAGACCATTTTGATAAAGATAATAAAATATTCAGGTCTATGGATTTCAGGCGTTAGGATTTTTTATGGGTTTTATGGATAAAACGAATCCTGATTAATTCAGATACAAACTGAAAAGTCTTGGTCCTGCTTGTAGCCTATATGTATATAGTAATTAAAAATTTTATGACATATAACTAAATATAATAAAACGAAATTTCGAATTCAAAACAGTTTTAATTCTTTATATTTTCGAATACTTATTCAGCATATGTGAATGTTGGAGGATTCAACATTATCACCGTGGACTGGAATCGGGTGGCAAAAAACATAATGTACCCAATTCCGGCCTATTTGACTGTTAAGGTGGGTTCCATAATCGCCAAATTGTTGGAAAATTTAGTCAATCTCGCGGTAATTAACCCGTCTGATATTCATRTTATTGGCCATAGTCTCGGTGCTCATGTGTCTGGGGCATGTGGAGCTGCATTTAGTCTTGGGAAAATTGGCAGAATTACAGGTAGATATATGCGTGCTATAATGATAAAATATTTTAATAATCGACAATGGTTAACACCAGGGCTGATCTAAGACCTCAATGCGCTAAAATCAATGACATCTTAACAAAATCTTAGACATGCTATTTAAATCATAATTATTTTTGACTAAATATGCATTTACATGAAATAAAACTTCAAAAGATGATTTATTAATTATAAATTAATAGGTATTACAATCTAAAATAATACATACCCACTTATTCGTATTTACCATGTAATAATCATTAAAATCAAAAGAAATATTTTGTCTATCACGGACCAAATTCGGAAGGAAATACGAGAGTCATTAAAATAATAACTATGTTTAGTATATATAATTTATTTCAGTGACTCAATATTATTCCTTTATACTCTTGTGCCTACTTAATTCTTGTTTTACAAAATTTAGGTCTTGACCCTGCCAGTCCTGGATTTGAGTACGCGTCAATCATTTCAGATCACCTAAACGATACTGACGCAGAATTTGTGGACGTGATCCATACAGCGATAGGGATAGCTGGATTCTCAGAACCCATAGGACACGCTGATTTTTATCCAAACGAGGGGAAATCCGCTCAACCCGGATGTTTAGAATCATACACACTGATGGAGATAATAAAGCTCAGTAAGTTTGTGCAGAAATTAAATAAAGATTTAGTGCAGATGACAGAAAATAAACATGAGTTTGACATTTTCAATGAAAATAAATAGTAAATAAAATAGTATACCTGGATAGTAAGTAGAAAAATAAATAGTATTATGTAGCATAAATTATTTTGACTGACAAACAGTTTAGAGAATAGTCTCTCATTAGACATAATATCAACTAAATGTATGCTGTATAATTTACAGTCCATTGCAATCATTCAAGATCGCACGAATATTACACGGAGTCCGTTTATCATAGGAATTCGTTTATGGCAACAGAATGTACTTCGTGGGACGAGTATACGAATGGCGAATGCGAAAATAATTATAAAATTTACATGGGACATAATGCGGATACAAAGTAAGAATGAGACTTATAAAGTTTAATATATAAATTATAATCGATTAACTTAAGTTTACTAATTTATGCGATGGCCACAAGCATTGAATTTGATATGGGATATTATTATATTAATAATCACGAATAAGTTGTCTATACAATGTTACTTAAAATCGATCAGACTTAAATATTAAGTTATTTTTAAGTTTTTGAGTTAGTAAATATTTGTTTACGCAGAAAATATATTGAATAATAAAATATACCTGTGGCAAATGCATTATTAATATATAAGTATATATACTAGCTCAATTACCCGTCGTTGCCGGGTTTATTAATTGTTGTTATCTGGTAAGATTAGTTAAATTCAATTTAAATCAGATTGTATAAAAAAATCATAGTATATATTAATTGTTTATTAAGCTGATTTTTATCGTTAATATAATATTTCTCTATAAACTACATTTATTAGCTGTTGGCGCCAAAATAACTATAAACCCGTGAGCGTACTGATTTTGGAGCATGCCACATACAATTGGCCATGTGAAAAACAATCCTCTCCTATATCGATTCCTGCAATTTTCAGTGTTTGCCCTTGTGATTTGTTTATTGTCATGGAAAAACATACTTTTACAGGAAACTGCATTATCTTGAATTGGAAAGGATAATCTGATGGTGTCATTGGTATGCGAGGAATAAGAACTGATTCACCTTTTGCAGATCCAGTCATAATAATAGCTTCAATCTAATTGTTTTGTAGACCAATAATCCGTAGACGTGTCCCATTGTACAATTTTGGTGGACTAAGATTTCTGAGAAGTATTATAGGACAACCAATTTTTAATATTAATAAATGTAATGGAAATTCAGGAGGGTTGAGTGAATTGAGAAATTCAACTGGGTAATTAATTATATCATCTATTTCCAGTACTGAACTCACTGATCTGTATTCCATATTTTTGCTTTGAAAGAGTCCAATAATATTTTGTTTATGTCTCCTACTGTATCATTTTTTGATGTCAATATGCCAATATGGCCTTCTCACATAACCAGTCCATTGATTTATCTTTAATGTTATCGATGCCTGGATATATTTTGTTTGTGAGTTCTTTTATAGTTTTTACAACACTACCTAATCCGGTCAGCAAAGTAATTTTTTCTTCATATTCCGGATATTTTACATTTCCTATTATTAAGAGTAACTCTGAAAACTACTTAGCAGTCCAGTCACCTTTTTAATGTACTCGCATATTTATGGTCAAAAAAACATTACCGGTTCCGGCAAAAGCATTCAAAAATATAAATTTTCCTAAATTTAATTTGATGTTATTTAATATTTGTTTGTAAACAAACCACTGTTCCTCAGTCAATGAGTTTTCATTTTGCTTAACAATCTTGTGTAAATCAATTAAACCATAGCTTGTTTCTTTTTAATATTTTCTATTTTCTAACAGTCCAAGAGATCTTATTGGAGTTGGCAAACCATATTATTTTAAGCTCATTCCACCTAGATTCAAAACCAAATCTTCAATTAATACCAAACATTTATTATAAAGTTCATCGTCTGTTATATTATTTTCTATGTGTTGTCTATGGTATTGTAGCTAGATATCGTCCGAAAAATCGTCCTTATAATTATTCAAAAGCATTGAAGAGTCCGATGGATTGCAAAATATTAATATTATACCGAATAGTTCTCTCTTTTTATTAGGTGAACGACATACTGCTACTTCATCTAAAGCTAAATTTCACCGATTGTCATCTTCTAATGATCCAAGGGCTCTACATGTTGCTTGAAATGTCGGATATTCGGTGTTGTTCACATTCTTTAAAATGAATACGATGTTGGGCCTTTTACGTGATAAGAAGAAGACAAAATAGTAACATTCAAAATTCTTTGGGTGAATTGTATAAACTCTACCCAAAGCTGTATCTTTCTTAACTCCTGATCAACCCGCGACATTCTGGTCATTATGTCTAACAAATTTCTTATTTATCTACACATAATACTAAGCAACTTGTGGATAAACCAATTTTCTTGCAAGTCATCGGTTTGACATATCAGAATAAAGCCTGAAGAGTAGTTGTAGGTAGATTTTGATTTTCTATTCTTTCTGTGACATTATCTGGTGTAAAGTAAACACGTTGTCCATTTTCTAGGTGAACATAAAGATGAGTAATAGCTGGATGGATACCTATCGTGTATATGAAAACCTAAAATTTTCCAAGCTGCTTCAGTACTACTGATATACCTGCCACTTTCATATATTTTTATTTCATCTGTGTTGTCAGTTTTTTCGAAACCAATCAACTTTTGTGACATATTTGCATACATATTTTATTGACTTTATTGAACTGGTTATCTTAACATTTATATGAGCAATAAAACTGGGTTGTATGGAACAACCCACCTGTTATCCTAGTCAATCGACTTAATACTGACTTTGAACCTCCATCATTTGTTTATCGCCTTCTATATTTTGGATAACCATTTACTCCTCTTTGAGTTCTTTAACAAGGGTAACTGGATAACGTTTTCTGCAAACACCTTCTTATGAAAGGAGAATTTCTGTCCAAAAGTCCACATGGTCCATATGTCATGTGAGTCTTTATTACTATCTATCGTACAATAAAGGATCTATAACTGAATTCGGAATCTCAGCACACACGAATTTATCTATCGTATCTGATGATATTCGATTCTCTAACGGTTAGAGTCTAACCATATCAATAGGTGTACGTGAGGTAGGCCTCGCTTCTGCCATTCAATGGAATATATATGACATCTCAATTTCTCAAACAAATCACCTTTTTTCGACAAATCCATTAACTTCTTAAGTTTTAAATTAAAAACTCTTGCAATGATGTTTGGACGATGGTAATATTTTTGTCCTGGTAGAAAGGAATGCTTCTTGGAGATCTTGTCAATTTGGATTGCACGTAAAAATGATGAATAAATCTGAGCTGGCATAGCGTTAAACGTACGTCAGTGCATCTTGGGATCGTTCATTCATGTATCGTGGACCTCCTATAAAAGATGATGGCAACACAACTAATATTCCAAGTTGATCTGCTTCAACATTTTGTCTTCCAACGGAATCTTTTAAATGAATATATTTATCTGCTCTAAGCTTTTTTTGTTGATTTTTGATAAAATTTAATTTTTCAGTCTCTATTTTTGCGTACTTATCTACTAAATATTGGTCTAACAGTGGTCCATAACGAAGCAAATGATTATCTAGTTCTTTTCTAACCATAATTCTGTATGAATAAAAGTCTACAGTTTTATTCTTAAGGGGAAATTTTTTATTTGCATCCTTCTGATTATTATCCATTACAAAACATCAGAGGGTATTGTGGTGGGTCGTAAGATCTGTGTAATTCACTTATCCTTTGTAATCGATTATTTGAATGATAATATCTCTTTTTTCAAATTGCTGCCCAACTATTAGTAAAGCTAATTTAGCCGTTCCTGCATTGTAACAGCCTTTGTATCCATTAGCAGGTTTTCTATCTGCGTTAATCACCACCTTAAAATTAGTAGAATGTTGACTTGAATTCTCTACTGTGGTTTTAAATTCTCGAATATAATTATTTTTAGTATGCAGCATATTTTGTAGCTGTTTGACAAATATTCGTTTAACTTCTGGATAAAGAAAATAGCTAAGTTCAACTTCMTTTTCATCTTTGCCAACAAAATATATTTGTAAACATTTTGGGTTTTCCTGAGTGTTTTGAATCAAACTGCCATACAAATGGTATACTTGGCCTTGAACTTTAAAAAATGGCATAAAACCTTCTTCAACGACTTGTTTAGCACCAAACGATGTCATTTAAAAACAAACATCGTGATAGATGGTCAGGGTGGTCACCCATGAGTAAACTGCGTAACGGCTGGTCCTGATGGCTGTAGCAAGATATCGAGTTTTGTTCTACCTAAATTGTAGCACATGCCAGGTGTTTCGCCTTTTATTTGAGAGCGTTATATAATTTACAATTTTAGTTCATAGTGCCAATGTAATTTTYATAATCAATTGTGGGATCATATGCAAGACCAGTTAATTTAATCATTTTCAATTTGCACAATGAATTTTCAGACCGAAAAATGGTTTTCTCATCTTTTTTTTAACTTCCTTGACTTGGTTGCTTCGAGGTTTATCTGTACATCTAGCTCGCAACGTTTCTAACTTTTATTAATTAAATTGTCTGTGACACTTTTACATTTTTACAAATAGACAAATTGATCTCTGTAGTAAAAATTACATTTTCGGTAAAATTAGGAATATTAGAAATAGATAAATAAATATCAAAATGCCCACTATTAATATTTCTGGTTACACGCAATCTTTTTACTGGGAATTTATTTACACCAAATTTAACATAAAGATTATTATCATATTACATTTTAATTACAAAATGGAAAATATTGCCAGCTACAAACAATTTGCAGTAACCACCGTAGACAATTGAATTTTCCATATCCAGAATATAATGTTTGTACATTAGGTTTTACAATACATACATTTTTAGCATGTAAATTATTGCATTAAAAAATGTTCATAACTCACTTAAAAATTAAAAACTAGAATACTGAATTATAGTTACAGATAGTGTTTACACCTTTGAGAACACCATGCTCGCCATGTTAAAAWCATACAACATAKMAAATTTTACATTCATAATAATCCATTTTACTCATTAATCGTTTTTAGAGCTATTGTAAAATAAAACAAAATACCACTATAAAAATAGTTAAAATTGTAATCCTATTATAGCGTATTACTAAACAAAAATCATTACATACTCGAGATATTCATTGTAGTGACCAACAGTATAAATAAATAATTATTTGTAAACAGATAAAGTAAATTAAACATTTATTTGGCACTTATGTTATTATTTCCAGTAGTTATAAATGAAAATTGCATTTAACAAGTATTATGCATAAATCCAAATTTTGACTCGCTCTAACTTGGTCAGTTTTGTAAATATAAAAAAACTTTTTAAACAAAAAATGTTTGAAAAAAAAAATCTATCTGAATATGTAGAAAAAAATAGTGTTTAGTCATGGTCACCCATGAGTAAACTGTGTAACGGCCGGTTCTGATGGCTGTAGCAAGATATCGAGTTTTGTTCTAACTAAATTGTAGCACATGCCAGGTGTTTCGCCTTTCATTTGAGAGCGTTTAGTATCTTTAATTTTCTTCCATTTTGCATCAATTGAGTTATTTATACCTGTATCTATCCTGATTTTTTCCGAGGTCTGATACTTGAATCTTTCACACGTATTCATATTGTTTAGTTTAGCTGTGTCATATTTGTCTACCACTGTTCCTTTTTTCGGAGTAACCTTTTTTATTTTGACTTTCATTTTTTCTTTAACCAGATAGTGATCCGAATCACCATCGGCTCCTCTCATCGTTCTTATGTCTTGAATACAGTTTTTGAATCTTACACTCACTAAAATATGGTCGATTTGGTTGACATATCTTCCATCAGGTGACATCCATGTTCCCTTATAAATATTTTTACGAGGAAACATTGTACTTTTCACTAGAAGACCATTTCCACATGCAAAATCGATAAGTTTTAATCCATTATCATTTGTAGCTTCGTGCAGGCTGTGACTACCAATTATTGGTTTGAATACAGCCTCTTTACCAACTTTTGCGTTTAGGTCACCTAAGACTATTTTTATTCTGTATTGAGGTAATGTATATAATGTTAAGTGCAAGCACTCATAGAAATCATCCTTCTCTTCCTACGGCTTATCTTCGGAAGGCGCATGCACATTTATGAAAGTTATGTCGAAGAACTGCGCTTTTATTGTCAATAATGAGATTCTTGGATTGATATCTTTGAATTCCCTTATATTTGGTATTAAGCTTTTGTGTACTGCAAAACCAGTTCCAAACTGGCGTTGTTCATTACATTTACCATAAAGTATTGTTGTTTCTTGTATACCTAACGTTTCAGTATCATCCCATCTAATTTCTTGTAGACCCGCTATTTTTAACTTATACTTCTCGATTTCTTTAACAATGTTTTGGGCTGCTCCAGGTTTGAAAGGAGTACGTACGTTCCATGTCCCAAATAATAAACCATTTTTCCGATTTTCAGTCTTATTATCCAAAGCTCCACGTATCCGAGGCATTTTTATGTTAATTAGATCCTGAACAGAAGATTTTTTATTAGGCCGGGTCGTTAGCCCTGCGCTAAACCCCCAACCTGAAGGACCAGTCATCTCCAACCAATTAAGGTCAGAGTAGGGAGATCTGAACCAACTAATTAAAGTCAGTTCAGTTCAGAACTCGGGGCCCCGGGTTCGCCATACCCGTCGTACTCTTAGTGCTCCCCTGAGGGGATATCTATATACTACTATATAAAATTAAGCCGCTTTTTTTTTGTTCGGGATAAACTCCGAAACTACTAATTGGATCGTCTTGCAATTTTTAGATTCTGAACGAAGTGATGAATGTATTGATTTGAAAATGATGTGTTTTTTTTTGTATGTCTGTGTACAGTATAACTAGTCGAAATAATGCTTCAATTTCAAACTTTGGGGGTGGTTTCCAATTGAAAAGTGAATATCCTTGGTGCATTACCTAGGTCAAATGTTAACATTTTCCAACAGTTTTCAAAAAAATCGAGAAAAACAAAAAAGAAGTGACAGAAAAACGGGAATTTTCACGCAAAACCAGTTTTCGACCAAATCGATTTTTTTATATTTCAAATTCTAATTCAAAATCTATTATCACTGTAAATACTTGAAATTTTCACCAAATGTTTATGTTAGTGTTATCTATATATAGTTTAATTTTCAAACATTTTTGACTTTTTTTGAATTATTAATAGACCACTGAAATTTTCAATTTTTMYRAGAATTTTTTTTGAAGTGTCGGTAAAAAAATTTTGGATGACCAAAAAAACTTGAAAATTTAATACAAGGTTCCTTATGAGTTGTTCTTATTGTAGCTAAAAATAATTAAAAATCGTTAGTCACAATTTTTTTTAAAAGCGTTTATAGTTCAAATTTTTACGAAATCTGTCGAAAACGCGAAAATTTGCAAGTAATTTTGAAGTTGAAAAATCATAAAATTTTTTGTGTTTATAACTAAAGATTAAAAATACAACGCTAAGTTTTTCTTCAAGTAGCTATAGAGAAAACTTGAAGCATCATTATAGGAAAAAATTTTTAAGCGGTTGAGATTTCAATTTTTATGAAATCGCGTAACGATAACGATTTATCCTCAAACCAGGTTATATAATGTATATCCATGATAATATAGRTTATTATGAATTATGATAACTACATGCAATGTTTTTGGAAAAATTGATTAWCCATKCYTTATGCAAAATGCGTCCTAATTGAAAAATAAAATATTTGTTTCAAAATAGAATATATGACAATATTTAAATATAAACCCTAGTCCGAGGTCCACCCCATCCCCTAATGTACAGCAGAGTGACATCCACTTATCCGCTTTTTTTAAATTAAAGGGGACATCACAGAGAAGGTTTTGGGCATAAATTTAGTCTGATAAAGTAAATTATTAATTAGTTATTATTAATTAAAATAAACGTGTAAATTGTATACCTATATATATTATTATTGTAYGGTATGGCGGCCCACCGGTTTCCATAGTAATTTCTATAGTATATTTTGGTTTTCCTTTACTGATAAACATAAAATATAGGACAACAATTAATATTGAGTGTTTAAGAGAGAGAAATTATGATCAACACCAACTATTATTGTCCGTTCAAAATGAAAATCAATTAAACCGTGTACAAAGAATTGTATTTGATTCAGTGATGTCGTCTATTAACATAATGTAGGCAAACAATTATTTTTAGATGATCCTGGGGCACGGGTAAAACTTTTTTGATAAATTTACTTTTTGCAAAAGTAAGATATAGTGGAAAAATTGCTCTTGCGGTAACATCATCTGGCATTGCATCTACGATATTAGTAGGGGGCCGAACAGCTCATTCTACATTTAAACTTCCTTTGAAATATGATAGTGACGATGCTACGAGTATCTGTAACGTTTCAAAACAATGTGGTACTGGTAAATTGATGCAGGACTGTAGTCTAATTGTTTGGGACGAAGCGTCAATGTTCCAAAAAACTTCAGTTGAAGCTTTAGATAGAACGATGCGAGACTTGCGTTATAATAATAGTCCTATGGGTGGTTGCTCAGTGTTGTTCTCTGGAGACTTGTACTTGAACGCTTCTTTAAAAAGATCCTACTTATGGCCTTATATAAAAATATTAAAACTTAAAACTAATATGAGAGTGCCATGTTCCGGTCAAGATAATATAAATGTTGCCAAAGATTTACTTTCAATAGGCAATGGTGAATTTCAAGCAACGAATGATAAAATAAATATTAAAAGTTTCTGTAATTCAGTACCCACTATAACAAAATTRATTCAAAACGTRTACCCGAAYATTCAAAATATATCTTCTAAATCACTGAAATGGTTTCAAGAAAGGTCTATTTTGTCACCAACAAATGAGCAAGTCGACAAATTAAATGATTTGATTCTATCTAGGTTTGACGCACAGTCACAAATGTACTATTCAGTTGATTCAGTTTTAGAAAGGGAGGATGCAGTCCATTTCCCAACTGAATTTCTTAACTATTTAACGCCTTCTGGAGTCGCACCACATACACTGATTTTAAAAATAGGGGCACCAATTATTTTAATTAGAAATTTGAACCCACCCACACTTTGCAACGGTACAAGACTACAAATTAAAAGATTGAGAAGTTTATTGATTGAGTGCATAATATTAATGGGCTGTGGTAATGGAAAAACTGTTTTAACACCAAGAATACCAATTATACCCTCAGATTTACCTTTAAGTTTAAACGTATTCAATTTCCCGTTAAATTAGCATTTGCAATGACTATAAATAAAGCACAGGGACAAACACTTAACGTTGCTGGAACCTTAGCGTTCAATGTTTTTCTCACGGTCAACTATACGTCGCCCTGTCACGTGTGACATTCAAATTTAATTGGTATATTTTTGCTCCCGATACAGAAAAAGTTGATAACGTCGTTTACAAAAAAAAATTGTACAAGTCTTTGAATTATCAAAATACTGGCATATTTATATCTTTTGTTCCATCCATAGTTATACTTACAAAATGTACATACACAAACTCTAGTCTTAGCTCTTCGTGGGTTAAATCTATTAAATAAAAAAAATTTGCAATAAGCATCAATTTTGCTATTGACACAAGTGATATAATTTTTTTTCAACAATATGATTAATCCGAAATACATTACCACGGAGACGTGGCTAAAAGTGGTCTAAAATAAAAATAAATATCTAACATCCAGAAGATAAATAGCAAATTAATATCTGAGAAATCTTGCAATAGCGAAGCATATACATTATAAATTTATAGCTTTATAGGTATCTATATAATATGCATTCGTATACAAGCGTTCTAAATTGGAAAGAAATTAATGTAAATTTAATTCATTATTTTTTTTCTTGTTATTAATATATTTTAGAGCAAGAGGAACTTTTTATCTAAAGACCAACAGTATTGCCCCTTATGGAATGTCATATATTACACCATGAAAACATAAGTCATAGTCTTACACACGATTGTTTTTTTCTTTTTATGTACGCTTTCTTTACTCTTTTTGCATTTCAGTTTAAACTAAGATATTTATTGTTATGATATTTTTAAGATTTATTTGACATAAATCTTAAAATCAATAAAAAAAAAATAATGTTTAAATATATTGTACACCTATATTTAATAATATTCTGCTTTATTACAGCATATATATATAAATTAATAAAAATTAATAAAAAAAAAACAACGATATTATTTTAAATAAACAACTAGACACACTCACAACTCACAAGTCACAATCCACAGGTTAATACATGATTAATAGAGCTGTGAATTTAATGCCAAAAAAAATGCAATAAAATATGCACTTAAAATGCAAAATAATGCATTATATACAATAACGACTTTTATATAATAGGAGTATAATATTCTATTGGTATATTAAGTATAATATATTGGTGTACGTGCACGATGTGAAAAGGGGGGGACCGGGAGCCTGTAGGTAAATGTTTTTCAAGAAGCAAAAATAAAAATTAGAAAAAAATTGATTAGAAATAAACACTACCACTCTGCACTTTGTAATCGTCCAATTACTGATCTGAAAAATTATTCGTAAAAATTAGATTATTGAAAAATGATAATTTTGAGGACTCCAGGTTTACCAATGTTTGAATTATAAAAATAAAAAGATGAACTATGTTTAAATTAAAAGAGAAAAAATGAGAAGGAAGCATGGAAGCTCGTAGGCAAATGTTTTTCAAGAAGCTAAAACAAATTTGAACCTACTCCAAAAATATTGAACTTACTCAAAATTGTTAAAAAAAATTAATTAAAGAAAAAAAAAGAGAAGAGGTCACCTGCAGGAGCACGTAGGCAAATGTTTATCAAGAAGCAGAAAAAATGTTGAACCTACTCCAAAAGTTAATATACTTAAATTAATGAAAAAAAAAATGAGGAGGGGGGACCTTGAGCCCGTAGGTAAATGTTTTTCAAGAAACAAAATAAATATTGAATTTACTCAAATTGAAAAAAAAATTAATTAAAGAAAAAAAATGAGAAGGGATGACCAGCAGCCCGTAGGCAAATGTTTTCAAGAAGCAGAAAAAATTTTGAACCAACTCCAAAAATTAATATGCTTAAATTAATGAAAAAAAATGAGAAAGGGATACGTGGAGCCCGAAGGCAAATGTTTTTTAAGAAGCAAAAAACAATTTTGAACATACTCCAAATATTAAGATACTTAAATTAATGAAAAAAAAAATGATAAGGGAAGCATGGGAGCTCGTAGTCAAATGTTTTTCAAGAAGCAAAAAAAAAAATTTGAATCTACTCCAAAAGTTAACATACTTAAATAATTTAAAAAAATGAGGAGTCCCCCCCTTCTCATTTTGTTCAATAACCTAACTTCTAGGCGGCAGGCAAATGTTTTTCAAGCAGAAAAAAAATTTGAAAAAAATTGATTAAAAATAAACACTACACTCTGCAGTCTGTAATATTCAAATTATTATCCGAAAGTTTAGGGGAATGTTATCCGAAATATTTAGGGAAGTATTTTTGAAAGATTAGGGGAAGTATGTTTAAAAGATTAATGGAATATTATCCAAAATATAAAGGTAATATTATCCAATGTATTAAGGATATTTATCCAAATAAGTAAATGATAATTATCTGAAATATTATCCGTTGGTACTACAAATTGAAAAAAAATTAGAAGGGAATACCTGGAGCCCGTAGGCAAATGTTTTTTTAAGAAGTAGAAAAAAAATTTTAAAAAATTGATTAGAATTAAACACTACACTCTCTACACTAATCCGAAAAACCATTCATATAAATTAGTTTATTGAAAAATATTGATTTTGAGTACTCAAGGTTATCAATGTTTGAATTATAAAAATAAAAAGATTAATAATTATTATTATGTATCAATGAACAGAAAAAAAATGAGAAGGGAAGCATGGGAGCTTGTAGGCAAATGTTTTTCAAGAAGAAAAAAAAATTTGATAAAAATTGATTGGAAATAAACACTACCTACACACTGCAGTCTGTAATTTTCAAATTATAATCCAAAAAGTTATTCATAAAAATTAGTTTATTAAAAAATGAGAATTTTGAGTACTCAAGTTTACCAATGTTTGAATTAGAAAAATAAAAATATTAACTATGTTTCAATGAATAGAAAAAAATGAGAATGGAAGCATGGGATCCCACTACGGGCGAATAATTTAATAATAATTTTGAATTATTATACCTATATTAATTACTTTTATTTATATTTAATTCAATAAATGATATATGATTAGAGGATTCATTATTATATCTTTAATTTAGTTTTTATGAAATACTGGTATAACACTATAATGACTTTAAAATATACTATATTTCCTCAGTTATATTTTTATATTTTCTCTCATCGTTATGTTCACAACGTCGAATACCTTGAAAGTTAGTAGGAAAAGATCATTGCTAAGGGAACGACAAGCGATGATAGTCATCTATCATCAYCATAGCTTCGACTCACCATAGTCACTATAGGTTTACTAACCTTCTCATGACTTACGTAACCTTCTRCTAGTCACGCGGGGAAGGCAGTGTCGTAGCCAGGATTATACTACGTCACTGAGTCTAATATGAATCAATTTGAACAATAAATAGTATTCGGTTATCGCGTGACTAACAGAAGTTACCCTAGGACACTTTGAATAAAAAGATCYTTARTTGGTYTCCGATATAAGTGTTTGCTTATCAAGTTGATATATTGATTGTTCACCTCTTACAACTTACACTATACATAAATGGCTCCTAACCCTATCGCTATGTAAAAATGAACACTTGGAAAGGTAAAATTTTCTCTATTATGCAAAATAACTTTTAATTATAAGTTTTAGATAGTTTATAAATATTTTATCTTTTAGCTTTACGTATCTATAATATAAAAATGAATCGCAAAATGTGTTGGTAAGCGCATAACTTAACAACGCCTGGACCAATTTGGCTGAACCCGACACTCTGCTGAAGGTTTTAGCACCACTTTTGTCAATAAAAAAAAAGTATAAAGTTCATAAAAAAATCAAAAATCCAATTACAGTAGTGGCGCACTCTTTCGGTCAAAAAATATACTGTACCTAATGATATATACATTATGATATATCATTATTTAGAATTACAATAAAATGTCAATACAGCTGCACAGATAAAAGTTGAAAAATAAAATATCTTTAATCATTAAAACACTTTTAGATTAAAGAAAATAAACAGAATATTATTTATACAACTATATAAACATTAAACAAACTACTAATAATTAACTTACTCTTGGATTCTGGACAGTAAATAATCATAATCTWTGCAGCTGTATAAACATTAATTATTTAGTACATATTATAACAATTTACTTATAATGTCACGGTAATGAGTAACGCGGCGACTCGCTAAGTCGAGTACAAAGTCGGCCATCAATATCTATAAAAGCAAACACGACAATCAACACCGCGCTCAGTCATCCAGTAGCTCACCCGATGTTATATTTTTAATAATTTGTAAATTGTATATGTGTCGATTTTTATAAGTAGAAATAAATTAAATTTGCTGTAATTATTTTTACCGACTTGTTCAATCATAACATTTTAATATACCTCTCACTATTCTGGTCAGTCGACTTCAACTATACATTGGATTATACAAGATAGTTTTCTACCTGAGGGTTCTTCGAAAGGTAAGTAAAAATTATACATAACAAATATTTCAATACATTTATTTGTTTGGAAAGGAAAAACTCTCGTACCTATCCCCCGTAATATATTTCATGAAGTGATGAGTTAAAAAATATATAATAATAATTTAATTTAATATAAATAAATAATATAATAATATAAATATATAAATAATATAAATAAAAGCATAAATTATGGACCTAACTCCTGTGAGTTAGAGATTTAGAGACAAAAACTGAGTTACACTGGTGGCGCCCTCTAGCAGATAAAAATAAAAATAAAAATATAATATAAATAATAATACAAATATCGATAATAGCAGGGCTTGAAATCGATTAATATCGATAAAAATCGAAAAAAAAATATATTTTTATATTCTGGTTGATATACATTTTTTATTATAGACACTTAGAACTTTAGAGTAAATTAATA